TGTTGCGAAGATAATTTATGTGATTGTTGTGTGGCCTAGGTTATTGTACTTGGTTACTCAGAGCCAAGTTCGATCTCTTCCTCAAATTAGAGAGTTTTGTCAAAAAAAAAAAAAAAAAAAAAAAAAAAAAAAAAAAAAAAACCAAAGACATGGTCAAATATTAGTATTTGGGACAAAAGTTGAAAATTGCTGAATGTCAAAACATCGGAATGCAATATAAAAAAATTTAGAACGTCACGATCCATTTTCAGTCATTAATGTCAAAACATTTTCTTATTTGTTACATCTCTAAGCTAAGCTTGTCCTATAATTTGAATTAGAGAAATGATAAGAAAACTTTCTTAAAAGTAAAACTCTCTGTCATCTTACAGTTTAACTCTCTGTCATCTTACAGTTTAATATCAATTCTAATGCTAACAAATAAAATTTTACGCAAAAAACATGAACCAATAGAATCCGTAAAAAGTTCGATTTTTGAGAAAACCTCGTTAGTATTTCTCTATGAGGTAATAACTTGGGAAACAAGGGTATGGTTAGTCGCGGTAGAGAAAAACTTTCCGAGTATAGAAAAATCTTGGAAATATTTTGTTAATTATAAAACTGGGTGCCCTCCTTCCCCGCTATTCGTGCGTTTTGCTTTCTTTATGAGAAACGACGCACCGACTCACTGCCATCGCACGTGCGCACGTGACACCTTAATCTCTCTCTCAAGCTTGTTTAATTATTTTATCATAGTTACGTGTAAGCAGATGAGCACCTTTTTCCTACAAGAGCACCATCCTGTTTGAAAAGACAGTATTACCCCAATGTGCTCTAAGACCTATTCCAATATTTGAAGTAAAACTTAGATCTTAGGTTCTAAATTTACTCTAACAATCCAACTTACTTCAACTCTTGGGACAAATATGAGTTAAAACTCAAAACTCATTTCTGGGTCAAATTTAGCCCAGGATTCCCCTTAGGTTAGTTGGGTTAGTCCATCGTATATGTATATATTTTTTTAGTTTTATATTTATAAATTCATTGAATCCAACAGTTAAGATCTAATTTGATGAAATCTAATGGTTAAAAAAAAAAAAAAAAAAAAAAAAAAAATTCTAACTATACAAATTTAAATCCAACGGCTAAAGTAATAAAAAAAAAAAGAGTTCTTTTATGTGTTTCATATTCTTTCATAGTGTTTCACAAGTTTCATGGTGTTGGTTAATGATTTTTCAATATTTGTCGGAATCTAAATATTTTTAAGTTAAAATGTTCATAAAAATAAATTTGGATACTCTACATAATTTTTTTCTTTTAAAAAAGTTACTTTAAGAAAAAAATTAGCCTAAATTTATTCTTTAATGATCTAGGGTTAAAATTTTAACCTAGAATGGTTGGAGCAAAAAAACTGTTTATAGGTTAAAACCTAAATTTTCTAGGCTAAAAATGTTAGGTTTTAACCCAAGGGTTGGAGATGGCATAATATTATTATCTTGGATAAATTATTTTAGAATTTAAGTATTTAAACTTGGATTTTATTTGAGATTTAGCAAATAAAACATAATAAATTTAAGGAATTATAAATTAGCACTTCAAACAAATCATCATGTAATATTGAATTTTATAAAAATACAAAGTTAAATTTACAAGAAAACAGTTTAAGCTGACATTTTTAAAGTGTTAGTAACAGTTAATAGTTGTATTCACCATAATTTATTTCTTGTTAATAATGTAATCGTATAAATTTCATAATCTGAATTGTTCAATTATTTAAACCAATTAAGGATCATAACTGTAAAAAGAAACTTTTGAATTAGACATTGTTTGGTTATTTAATTATATTAAATAAATAAACGATTCATCATAAATATGTTACTTGGTCTTTATGCCATCGATTTGTTCCATGTATTTAGATGACTAATCGGATCTCAAATTTAAATGATTATGTAAAAATGATCTTTATTGAACAATTTTGATTAAAAATGTTATTTTATTCGCAAAGTAAGATGAATTTGGGGTGAATGCAAGTATTATCCGCTAGTAACAAACATCATCTGCCACTTAGTACTACGGTTTAGTAGTATTCATTTTCACTTGTAAGTGAGAGGTCTTAGGTTCGATTCTCGCCAAAGATAAATTTGAATCACATTATTGCCACCCCATTGTGAGGCTAAACCCGTCCCCTCCCTCATAATATTGTTTGCTAAAATAATAATAATAATAACAAACATCCTCTACTTATTGGAGTTTTGTTTTTGTAAAATTAAAGGGCAAATTAGAAGTTTTGATCACCTTGGTTATGAAGCAAGGTAAGGCAATAACAAGAGGAAGAGTGCTCAAATGATAAAAGCCAACTTTATACTTCGAACCCTACAATATTATTCTGATTAGACTACGTTTATGTCCTTGAAACTGACATAACAACAATATTATATTGTCTTAAAATATTAATCCAAATCTAACGATCAGTATCCACCTTACGCCTTTGACTGGTAAAGATTCTGTGCCATCCCAATTGTTTTACTTATCTTTCATTTTTTGATATTCGAGATTTAGTAAGGTTAAGTAGGTAACATTGCAAAGAAAAAGGATTTTTTTTTTTTTCAAGAAATGCTAAGAAGAGTTTTTCAAAGTGTGACTTTTTATGAATTTTCTATCACTTCCTAATTAAATTAAATTTTCATGCCTACATTATAAAACATTGCGTAAAAAATATGAACCGGTAGATAGTCTTATTTTTTTAGAGAATTATCTTAGAATTTCTCTTTTTTTATATATATATATATTTTTTTTTAATTTTTTTTTTATATGAACGTTGTTGCCTTACTCCTTAACGCTTAAGATTTTGGTGTGGAATTGTCTAATATGGTATCACAATGTTAGTTTTAAGAACATCATAAGTTTAACTCTCCATTTTGTACCACTACTTATTTATTAACATGCACAACAAAACTGAATCCATATTGACTCAACCCTCCTTGTACGCGGGATGAAAGTAGATGATGATATTAACTTGATATACATGTTATCAATACAATCGTGAATGATACACAATGATTTAGGTGATTGTGATACCTATACTAAGAATTAGACACCCTGAATTTATTTCGTATTACATTGCTGTCACAGTGGTGTGAGTTTGATGCAAATGAGTTGTATATATTAGATGTGAGACCCATCGATTTTTTATTTTTCTCTACTTTGTGATTGCTACCTACTTTCTTTCTCTTGTTATTTATTGTATAAGTATCACACTCATAAGTTCAATACATTGACCTAAAAAATAAGAAGCACTCTCATAGCACTCAGAATTTCCAGCTTACGGTAGGATTTTGATTCTTATATTATTAGAATCACACTCTTTTTTCCAGTCTACTTTGGAATGCCTAATGTCTATGCAACTAATTGTGCAATGTATGCTTATTCAACAAGCAAGAGATAAGAAGAAAACTTTGGTGACTTGTCCTATTTATGTCCAAATGCATTTGCCAATTGCTAATTGGCAAAGTCCAGCTTTAAAGCACGTTTATATAGGTGCCAAATTTCTGTTACTATTAATCACTATTAGTGACTTGAACATGAAACTTTTCCCAAACACAAAGTTCAATTATACTACTAATCATTCAAATTCACCGATATCTAATGCTTAATCAGTGGCTTAAAGTGAAAAATTGCATCGTACCACAACCAATTTATGATGTTTTTTACTTTTACCACTCAAAAATTAACCTTTTTCTTCCTTCCTTTTTGCCTTTTTCGTTGTTGTCTTAATTTCTACCGCACAATTAATCATATGTCTATAATTTTCATTTAATACAAAAAGTTTGATACGATGCATGTTGAAATATAGTTGGCTAATGCCACGTCATCTAAATAGTAAAAATAGTTGGAAAAATGGGTTTGGTGGGAAAAGCCTAGCTATTTGACTGACTCGTTCTAAAAAGAATCTGTCACGTAACTAGGCCAAATTTAAGAGCTTTTCAATGTAAAATATGTCTATGTGATTTTATTAATTTGTTCAACATTATAATATATAATTTTTTATTAATATATTTTAAAAATGAAAAATATCAATTTTGTCGTACAAAAGGTTCAGTCGTGCAACTTATGAACATGCTCAATGATGTTAATTGTTCTTTAAATGATTGTTACGTGTTAAAAAGTTATCTTTCAATAAATATTTATCATATGACATCAATGGTTACCGAAGAATCTTTAAATTTGTTGCTAAAATGTAAAATGATACAAAATGTGATTTGCGTTTCTCATACCTTTATTAGTCATCAAACAGAAAGGAATCCAAGTGTAATGATATAAAACGTGATTTGTATTTCCGGTACCCAAATTTGTCGCCAAAATCAAGAGGAATCCAACACCTAAACTAAGACAATTCTAAGAAAAGGGTAGAATGGTAATTCGCTATGAAAATCACAGTCACACAACCCTTCTTTTACTTTTCCCACGCGCACTACATGCTCGCTCTGGATCAGGATCCTCTCCTAAGTTAAGAGTGAGGATCCTTCTGAATAGGTCTATCGAGCCGTTTAAATTTTATCTAACGATTAAAATTATTATAATTTGTAAAGGAATCTTCTATTTTTAATAGTTGAATAAAATTTGAACGGTCTGATGAACTTACTTAGAAGGATCTTCACTCTTAATTCAGGAGAGAATCCTGATCCCCTCGCTCTCTCTCTCTCTCACTTTGCAAGAGAGGAGAGAGGATAAAAGCTGATCGCCGCAGTGTTTTTCCAGTGCCTTAATACTTGCAACTCCCACCCCCCCCCCCCACTTTTTACTCCCTCCCCTGCTTTTTTAACCCAACTCTGTCAGGAAAACCCAAACCCGACTACTTGGGACAAACAAAGCAGGAATAATAAACAAAGACAAAGTTGCTGAGCGAAATATCGAAAATCAGAGAGAGAGAGAGAGAGATGGAGATGGACAAAGGGTGTGCGTTTGTGCCTTGTGGTGGTTAAGCAGTATGCAGGTGCCAAAGAAGATAGAAAATTTGAGTTGAGTTTAGCAGAGAAGTAGGCTGAGGTAGCTAGTGGCAGTGTTTTCAGGCAGAAGTAGATAGATATAGAGAGAGAAGGGAGAAGAAAAAGGAAAAGTGGTAGAAGGAGAGAGAGATAGAGAGAGGAGATTATGGTGGGCTCAGGAGCAACAGATAGGAGCAAAGAGGCTGTTGGGATGATGGCCCTTCATGAGGCCCTCAGAACCGTCTGTCTCAACACTGACTGGACTTACTCTGTCTTCTGGACTATCCGTCCCCGCCCGTATGCACCGCTCTCTCTCTCTCTCTCTCTCTCTCTCTCTCTCTCTACTTTCTCTCTCTATCTACCCTTGATCTGTGTTGAACTTTGGATACTTTGATTTTTAGATGGTATCCTTTTCTGGGTTTAATTCATTTTTTGTTATTATTTTGTTGCAGGAGAGTTAGAGGTGGTAATGGCTGCAAGGTTGGGGATGACAATGGCAGCTTGTAAGTATAATTAGCTCTTTAATTCAATTTTTGCTCTGTTTTCTCTCTGTTTTTACAAATGGGTTTTTGGTAATTTTGGGATTTTGGTGTTGTTTGAATTAGTAAAATTTTCAAGTTGTGAAAAATTTATGTAATTTTTTTGTTGCTTTTTTGTGAAATTTGGTGAAGGATGTTGATGTGGGAAGATGGGTTTTGTCGAGCGAGAGTTTCATCAGATTGTCTGGAAGAAATTGATGGAGAAGATCCTGTCAGAAAGGCCTTCAGCAAAATGTCCATTCAGCTGTATAATTATGGAGAAGGGTGGGTGCTTGGTATGTCTTTTTATGTTGTTGTTCTCTCTCTCCTCCCTCTCTCTCTCTCTAAACAATCTTGCAGGACATGAAATTGTAAGGAGTTTCCAGACATGGGTCTAATCCAAGTGGGATAGACCCAACTTCGAATCTCCTTCCCCGAAGATTAGATGAATTTAGTATATTTATTTTTGTAGTTTGTTAAAATATTATGGGAAATAAGTTGTGTGTGTGTGTGTGCTCCCATTGATTGCACTAATTTAAACAGGTTGATGGGGAAGGTGGCATCTGATAAATGCCACAAATGGGTCTTCAAAGAACCCACAGAGTGTGAACCAAACATCTCCAACTACTGGCAAAGTTCATTTGATGCTGTATGTAATCAAACCCACATGTTTCTTCTTGCTTATTTATCAATATCGCTTGTGGCTCACGTAGTTAAGAGTATTCAACCGAGTCGCGGGTCGGAATTATTGATGATTGATATGGTAACCTTTCCTTTTTTGGTGCTATTTATTGCAGCTTCCTCCTGAATGGACTGATCAGTTTGAGTCAGGCATTCAGGTCAGAACAGAAAAATAGTTACTGTTTTACTATTATTGGTCTCATCATTTTTTGAAGTTACAGTTAAATTTTTCCCTAGTTGTTTGTTGTTCTTAGTTTTTAAACAGTGAATTTAATTTTCACCAGACAATTGCTGTAATTCAAGCTGGTCACGGGCTTCTGCAGTTGGGCTCCTGCAAGATTGTGAGATTATATATTCTTTTCACTCCGATATAATTTTGATTTTTATGTTATTAATTTGTAAATTAATAAAAGGGTATGAACAATGTGTTACCAGATTCCTGAAGACCTGCATTTTGTGCTAAGAATGAGGCATACATTTGAATCTCTAGGCTACCAATCTGGTTTCTACCTCTCCCAACTCTTTTCATCAAACCGAAACAACTCTGGATCATCGGTGCTGCCCTCGAAGCAGTCCCCAATGCCAATCCGCCCTTCTCCACCTCTCTTCAATTGGGCTCAAAGGCCTCTTCCATCTGCAGCAACCATGCAGCTTCCTTCACCAAATTTCCAAAACTCTGCTGCTAGACTTGGGTACAATCCTCAAGCTGGTAAAGACGAGACACACATGTTTTTGCTGCCTCATTCGGCTGAAACACAAATGGGAGGAGACATGATGGGAGGCGGAGGAGGAGGAGGAGGAGGAGGAGGAGGAGAGCATGAAGGTGACATCAAATGGCCTAATGGATTGTCCTTCTTCAATGCACTCACGGGGCGGTCTGATGATGCAAAGCTTTTGTTCAATCCGGAGAGCTTGGCAAACAAAGGCGGGGATGAAAATCACCACCACAACAACCCGAATGCAAATTCAGACCACAATGAGTTTTTAAGCGTGGACTGCCATCCGGATAGTAGCGTAAGGAAGCACATGGAAAACAAGTACAGGAGGAGCTTTACTTTGCCTGCAAGGATGGCTTCGTCATCTTCGAATTCGGTTGATCACCATCAGCACCAACCTGTCGGGTATCGAAACGCGGAAGCTGGTATGTACTCTGATGTCATGGAGACATTCTTGGAGTGAAATGGGGAGGGCTGTTTTAAAGAAAGGAACGATGGGGAAGAGTTGTATGTCGGCAAAGCTTTCGAGCTCCTTTGCTGCTTATACTTCTGTGCTTTTATTTCATGCTCTTAGCTCTTTATATCTTTTGTTTTTTTTTTTGTTCAATCACTTAGTGAGACTTAATTAGTGAAAATTTGCATGTAGTTCATCCCATGAAGAGTTTTCCTCAATTTTTTTTGTCTTCTAATTGTCACCATGGAATCTTAAATTAAAAGTAAGCCTCAAGAAAATCAACATATTGCACCCTCTCGCGTAACTAAATTGATTAGAACATTGTGCCTTCGCCTCTACACTGATACTATTCTGTCAAGTTCTGGACCTTAGGTCGGTAGAAAAATAACCTCACACCTGGTGCGTGACCTAAAATTTAAATAATAAATAAATAAAAACTAAAAGGAAACTAAAACAGGGTGAAAATTAAAATTCTTCTTAAAAAAATAATCAAGAATTTTTTTACAAGGCTAAAAATATAAAAAAAACAAATAAATTTTCTATCCTCACATCTAATCCTAACATAGGTGTATTATAACTACTGAACACCATATGCACCTATGTTAGGCCTCGGAATTAAGCGAGTATGACCACAATCTAGTTGGCCTCAGCAATGACCGCTTCTCATATTAAGTTATAGTCATGCACACCATATGGACACCACATGCACATTACGGAAAAAATTTCACAAATCTATGTAATTGAATACTTGAACCAGAAATTGTTCCATCCCAGTTTTGTAGCACGTCAAAAAGTAAATTTTATTCCATAGCCCATAGGCCCTAACATGAAACACAAACCCTAATTTAACTTCTAAGTATTAATTCATATTACAACAACCCATTTATTCCATAAATCATTGATGTAGAAACTCGGAATTAAACACCCTACCTTATTATGCCTAACGAAGCTTCAGTTGCCCCAAAAAAATGGAACTTTTCGGCCAAAACAAAAAATATGGTACAAAACCCAGCTCACTCCTCTCATCTCTCTCTTGCATCCTTTTGTTCGAAATCAGAGGTACGAGGTCAACCCAAAACCCAGCTCACTCTTCTCACCTCTCTTGGACTTCCATCTCTTTGAAATCTGAGCTTAGAGATCTGGCTCAACCCAGAAACCCAAAGCTCATAGAGCTCTCTCCACATCCCTATTTTCCAAATTAGAAAAGTGATGTAATGTGCTGATGATTTTAGTATTTATATGTGGGTATTTTACTAATTTCGGTTTTATGCATGGTGGACTTGGCTAGGGTATGACCGATTTGTCCTGTTTCTGTCCTAAGATTAAAAAAATGTCCTATTTAAGGTATTTCCCTAAATAATTTGGATTTGAGTATACATGTATATCTATATAGTTAGTGCATGCTTTGGTTTATATGGTATCAGTTTGTTCCCTATATAGTACTGAATATCATGCAAAACCCCTTTTCGATTGAAGTGTTGGTCGTTAGTTCAAGTTTTGATCTCTCTTTCCCGTATATTGCTTGTACTAGGAAAAAAAAAATCAACATAATCACATCCTTCAACTACTGCAAGGTTGCATCCACATCTAACCACAATGGACTTGGTTTGTACAAGTACATCATGTCCAAAATGGGTTTATGGTGGATCCAAAATACAACCACAATACACAACTAGTAGTAAGACTATCTACATTTTTTTATAGGTAACTTTAACGAAAAACTCCCGATATTGTTCATTTGAACGAAAAACCACATTTTTACACTAAAAAATCAATCCTTATAAGTAAAAAATAATATTATTGAACCATAATACTAAATGATAATAAATCATCTACCTAACTACAAATACGAAAAACAAAGTTTTTATATGGACCCAATCGCTGACATTGGCCTCAACTCATTTTGGAAACTCCCTCATCGACGCTAATGGCAAGACTATAATGTCGACATAGATGGATGTTAGATCATTGTGGTTCGGCAATGTCGGGTGTTTGTTCAATTTTTTTTTGGGTTAATTACATAAACACCTTCTTTGTGTTTTAACAGAACCCCCTCAGGTTCTCAACATCTCACAAACACTCCTTGACGTTTTAAAATTATTTCATCAACCTCCCTCCTCCATGACAAAAAAAATCCTAACAGTCATGACATAAGTTATGAAAATACAAAATACCCTTACAAAAATCATTTCATCAACGTCCCTTCATTTTTATTCTTCTTCCCAGGTTCCCTCCCTCTGTTCTTCTTCTTCTTCGTTTCCCCTCCCTCTGTTCTTCCCCCTCCTTCCCACAAATCCCGAAACCCAATTCCTCCGCCAGCCACCATGAACCACCACCACCACCAGGTTCCATCCAACCACCCAAAACAAGACTCTTCTCTCCCTACATCTTCTTCTGCCAACGAAAAATGGAAGTGATACACCCACAGCTGCTGATATGATTAGAAGAAATCCATAGCCATAACCGAAAGTCATGCCAGCCACCCACATAGAAGGTGACGATGGTAAAAGTACGGTGGAAAATAATGCCACAGAAGCAAAGACTAGAACTGCAAGCACTGGAGGACTGAATGTTCTTGTCTCCCAGTTAAGAATTGGAATAATCTCCTATAAATGATTTCATCAATAGTCAGCATAGTAAAAGACATTATGACAAAGATAGCTGAAATAGGAAGAACACAAAGCAATCATAAACAAGACCGCTGGATTATAACACCTAATAACCATGATGTAGTCTTAATCTCCTATGTTTATTCACCAATGCAGCAATTTTTTAGGCAGACACCATGCAATGAATTAACGGCAAGATGCAATTATTTACTGTCTAGGCTAAAATATTCGAAATCCAATTAAAAGAGAAACAGAACATTGATTTTTGGGATTTGTGGGAGAAGAGGGAGGGAGATCCTGCGATAGCCAGAAGAAGATGCAGGGGGAGAAGAACCTTGTTTTGGGCGGTTGGATGGAACCTGGTGGTGGTTCATTGTGGTCGGCGGAAGAATTGGGTTTTGGGATTTGTGGGAAGGAGGGGGAAGAACAGAGGGAGGGGAACTGGGGAAGAAAAAGAAAAATGAAGGGAGGTTGATGAAATGATTTTTGTAAGGGTATTTTTGTATTTTCATAACTTATATCATGACTGCTAGGTTTTTTTTTGTCATGGAGGGTGGTTGATGAAATGATTTTAAAACGTCAAGGGGTATTTGTGATATGTTGAGAACTTGAGGGGGTTTTGTGAAAACATAAAAAACCTTAGGGGATGTTTGTTTAATTAACCCTTTTTTTTTATATACATCAATGTATTTACGCTAAAGGGTGAGAGATTAGGTTAAGGTGCATAATTAACCAACCATAATTTGGTATTAAATTTTCCATTCACATGACTCGAACTTAAGACATTCCATTTATAAGTTGAGAGAAATACCACTAGACGGTGATACTAAGTAGACCGATAATCGTTTATTTTCAGATTTCTAGTTTTCAAAATACTTTTAAGGGATAAAATGGACGTTTCCATGTTTTGTTGAGTGAACTGAGCGTGTCCGCTGGGTCCGAACAAAAACTCCTTCCACAAAACTATGTAGACCATGTTCAACTTGATTTGGTCAAGTCAAAACCCAACTCGACTTTTGAATCATATGAGTGGGGCTTGGATTAAAACATTTTCAATCGCATAAACAGTTTTGGGTTGTGCCCCTGCCCTCTTGAACAATTGACCTTTAATGCAAACTGATACATAATTTAGGTTTTTTTTTTATAGATAAAATGATCTTTGAAATGTTGGAAACCTGTGTTATGTGGGACTACCAGTCCCACATCGCCCATACACCCTTTACAACAACTCTTTATAAAGTGAGTTCACTCACTTATAATTTGAATTGAATTGGGCCAAAGCCATGGACCTTGGGCCTTAGACTTGGAGAGTTTGGATGTATATATTAAATGTCAAAGATGGGCCTTGGGGCTCGGATGGACGAAAAACCCAAGTATCATTTTTACGTTTTTGATTTTTTCATTAAGTTTTTTTTTCTGAAATGATAAAACCAATCACATGAACGGTTGTAACCGTTCTTAAAGATAAAAATGAACAGTTTCAACTGCTCATTTTATGCCATTATATATGGTTGTCGGATCAGAAACACAGATAGAAATCTTCCATCAAATTCCTTTTTCTGAAATGATAAAACCAATCACATGAACGGTTGTAACCGTTCTTAAAGATAAAAATGAACAGTTTCAACTGCTCATTTTATGCCATTATATATGGTTGTCGGATCAGAAACACAGATAGAAATCTTCCATCAAATTCCTCACAGTTCACAGAGAAACACCACAACCAATTCGCCAAGAATCCAAGTTCGAGTGCAAGAACTTGGATTAGATAGTTGTATCCTGCAAGATAGACGTCCATCGAACTGCTGCACTGGTGTAGGGACGAATTTCTGTCTTAGGAGATTGCTTCTGTAAGCCTCTATCTTCAAAGAACAAGTCAGTGATTTGTGATTTTATATATAATTACACTAAGAGTTTATGTTTTAATATATTGTATTTGTTGTTGAGTTTTTCCATTCGAAATAAAACTGTGCAAATTGTTGTATAATATATACTTAACATTTGATTGGTTCTAACATGAAATTGATATAAGTCTCCACGGTCTGTAACAATAAAAATTGATAGAAGTGGTCCTCGAGTTTGTTCACCGTAAATTATTTTGGTCATTACGTGAAAAATCTGTTACTATTCTTGTTAAGTGGAGGGGTTTGTTTGACAAAAAACACACTTAAAATGGTGGTCATGTGGTCATTCACATGACAATTTAACGAGAATAATGATACATTTTTTACGGAATGACCAAAAGACTTACGGTAGACAAACTCAATGACCACTTCTATCGATTTTCAATGTCAGAGACCAAAGTAAAGAGTTATACCAATCTTATGGACCATTTTAGCAACAAATCCCATAATTTATGCTTTAGAAGGATTTCGAACAAGTGATGAGAGAAGAGTAACGAGTTATGATTAGAATAGTCCATAATTCAATTCCTCCTATATAAAAAGGTTATAATAATTATTTGATTTAACTTGTATGTTCAATCAAATTTAATTCATTTGATAAGCTAACTACAATCATGTGTTCAATCAAATTTCTGATAAATTTGTAGCCAATGATCTAACGTAACAACTAAAATTCAAGTTAGCAAAGCCAGTTGAAGCTTATTC